AGCATGTGATTACCCCACACCAATGGGTTCAAATTAAATACAGAGAGATCATTAAACATTTTACCTCTGTCTATCTGTCCTTCTGCTGCGATCCATGCGACGATTACGGTCCCTTTCACGTTCGTTGCTGTCTCCGTCACGGTCACGGTCCCTATCACGACTGTTCTTCATCAACGGAGAAACGAGACCTGCAAACAAATAAGAAAATTTTAAGCTAACTATGAAAATGATACTAATTATGGATTACAAAATATACACATGTTAAAAACTTTCTCATTAAAAAAAATGCTAAGAAGGATACAAATGACTGCTTTCATACATATGCTTGTTGTGCGAGTTATGCACTGCCGTTTGAGCCAGAGACCTCCCGAACTTGGGGACTTTACCCCTAGACACCCGCCAATCACCATATCAGGGCTCTACCCCCAGATTTTGACATGACAGCCATTTACTTACAGCATTGCATTTGTCGCAACCTATTTTCTTCATTTTATATTTTTTTCAAAAATTAAGAGCATAGTTTTTCTCTGATGATTTTAGTATCATTACAATTGGTTAAGGTAAGCAAAAGAAATGAACCAACTGAGAAAATACAAGACCATACTTGCTTCATAACTAAAACCACAACCCTGTTATTCATATTGACTGATATTAATCAGCAGGAAATCCACTGGTTTCAACGATTATTGGCATTGTTTTTTGCGCAAATGATTCCTTGAGATCCAGTACCATTTCCACAAACAATCTTGATTTGTTAGTTCCGATAGCAGGGGAGGGCATCAAGTATATCATGGAAATCATGGGGTAACACAGGCTTATAAACGAATAGAGAACAAAAAACATGTAAAACTAGCACATAAAAAATGCTTAAAATCAGCTAATGAAACTACAGATATGTCTACGGACAAATGCACCAAATTCAAATCCAAACCATCTTTCAGAAAAATCCATGGGAAATCACACATCTAAACCCCACCCCTTAAAAAAAAAAAAAAAAAAACTCACGGCCCATAACCCTACCTCATTTAACAATCAACATGCCATGAATAGGCGTGCCCTACTTCCCATGGGGAGGGTTGATGGGAGGCAAAATCCCCGGGACACATTCTCATCACCTTCGTATGTACAGCAAGATAGAACTACATCTATACTGTAAATCATTGACAATCATGATTTGATAGTCCGCAATAGCTGGGGAGGACGTGAAACAGATAAGGGAAATTATGGGTAAACAGATTTAAAATAAGAATTGAGAAAAAAAATGTGCAAAACCTGCCAAAAAATGTTTAAAATCGGCCAGTGAAACTCTATGGATGCACCCGCCATCTTTGACATTCTACAGACCAATGGTCTTAATTCAAAAAACTCCACAGGAAACTAACCAATCCTTCAGCAAAATCTACAGGAAATCACACACTCCAAACCGCCCAAAAAACATACCAACCTATAAACCAACCTAATCTATCATATATATTAGATTATTCCAACCTAATCTAGCAAATGAGGACTGTCCGAGGGAAGGGTTGATGGGGGGGGGCACCAAACTGTCCAACTTCCCTTTGTTTCTTTTGGTCTGTTAGTCAGTCTATTGTGTGGATCACATCGTTTCTAATCACTTTTTAGGGCATTTGGAGCACTTAATGGGCTCAGATATCAAACTGTGATATTTATTAGTCTATTTCTTCTTCATTGCCACTGCAGTCTTAAGAATAACAGAATCGGCACAACACCAAAAACAAGACATTTCTCACTGGCCTTCTGTCTCCTAATGGCTGGGACCTCCTGTTAAAACTCACGGCTGGAAACACGCATATGCCCATACGCGCAAGGTTCTCCAGACCAACTACCATAAAAAACTGTATAAACAAATCTTAAAACACGTAAGCAAGGTATTACAATGGTGAATATGCATAACAGGGCAGGGGCTTACTTTTGAAACAATTTTGATATTTATTTGAAGGAAATCCACTGATTTCAACGATTCTTGATGTTGTTTCATGTACAAATGCTGTATTGATGAGATCTGACTACCACTTCCATCGACAATCTTAATTTGTTAGTCCTGATAGCAGAGGAGGGCATGAAGTATATCAGGGAAATTATGGGGTAAAACAGGCTTAAATAAAAGGAAAGCTAACAAACATATATACAACTAGCACAAAAAAAACTAAAAATCGGCTAATGAAACTCTACGGACACGCCTGCCATCTTTGAATATTTACACACTAACACACCAAAATTTGAAAAAACTCTACAGGAATCCAACCCCTCTTTCGGCAAAATCTACAGGATTTCACACCTTCCAAACACAATAAACTGTCCTGACCCATAACCTAACCTAGCAATTTAAAGTGCCGTAACTAGGCGTGTCCTTCAGGCACTATCCGAGGGGAGGGTTGATGGGGGGCTCCGTCCCCCAACGCACCCCGGACACATTCTCTCCACCCCCATATGTACAGCAAGATAGAGCTACATTCATACTGTAAACAATAAACCAAATAGCTTTATATATCGAAAGACCAAAGTGTCAATTTTCCTTCACTTCTATCGGTCACTCCATCGGTCGGTCAGTCTATTCTGGATCCCTTCGTTTTTATCACTTTTTTTTAGGATGTGGGGTACTTGACCTCAGAAATAAAACTACGATAGTTATTCAGGTATTTTCTTCTTCGTTGCCACTGTATAGTCTGAAGGGTAATTTTCTATATTACCTTCGCCTCTCCGATATCAAGGATTTTGGTATCGGATTCCTCTCACTGTCCACATTGCAAATTATAGTTTTTATTGCGCGGAAACCCCCTGTTAGCGACAAACTTTGCCCGATAGCAGGGGAGAGCATGAAAGGTTCCAGGGAAAATGCGGGGTTAAATAACACTAATAATATAACCCACAGTGAAAATAACCATAGTTATTCACATGACTTTCCATTGCAGGGGCTGTGCCCCCTGAGACCCCTCCTGGGGTTGTAACATTCCCAATGAATCAGCATACTAACCTTGACAGAGTCAGCATTGTATACAGAGACAATTGTAGTATAATCAGGATGAGCAAGGTAATACCATGAACAGAAGAGCGGCGGTGGCCCGCCCTCGTCGGCTCGGCAGGTTTTGTGCCTTTTTCGATTCATCTAGTTCGTGTGCCCTCTATCCTGCCGTGAATACCTGGGGGATATTTTGTGTTCTTGGCAGGGGTTGGGGTGGCAATCCACCAGGGGGGGGTCGCAATAAAAACTCATGTGAATAGCCATGGTTATTTTCACTGTGGGTGATATTATTAGGGTATTTTTCTATATTACGTCGGCCCGCTCCGACATCGTCGCCCCTGCTATAGGGGCCAAGTTTGCCACTAACGGGGGTTTCCACGCAATAAAACCTATATATTTGGATTGTACAGAGTGAGAGGAATCCAACGATACCAAAATTGTCGATATCGGAGAGGCATAGGTAACATAGAAAATTATCATCTTAAGAATAACCTAGAATCAAATAACACCGAAAACAAAACATTTCTTACCAGCCTTCTGTCACCGAATGCCCGGGAATCTCCTGTTAAACCTGACGGTGAGAATGCAAAAATGCTTATGCGCAGAAGGTTCTTCAGACCGATTTCCGTTGAAACCTGTATAATCAATCTTAAAACCCATAACTGAGGCATAACAACATCAATAAAGGCCTTTGAAAGCATAAATATGGAACGGCAGACACTGATGATTGGCAAAATATCATTTTGCCAATCACGCAGTAATACATGCACTAATTCACACATCACAGTAATCGGTATTGCTGTCAGTCCAATGTTCACTCTCGTCATGAAAAGAACATGATCGACTTAGCCAAAATTGGGCCCTCACCTCTGTTCACTTACATATAGCACCTATAGGAAGCGTTTGCACAAAAATTGCCATAGAAGAAAAGTGTCTTGGTTTGAAATCGGTCTAATCAAAATATATAGGTTTTCTTCCAACTCAGACCCCACATAATTCTGCATACTGTCCAAATAACCTTCGTTTGTTTCATTCTAATATTTCACACATGTTCTATTACCAAACTCCTCCATTCCTCGTACTTCATATTGTCCCAAAAGTCTAGCCATCAAAGGGGGTCACGAGAAAGCAAGAAAAAGTCTTCAGAGAGCAAGAAAAGGTCTTCAGAGAGCAAGAAAGTCTTCAGAGAGCAAGAAAGTCTTCAGAGAGCAAGAAAACGTCTACAGAGAGCAAGAAAACGTCTACAGAGAGCAAGAAAACGTCTTCTGAGAGCAAGAAAAAGTCTTCAGAGAGCAAGAAAAGGTCTGAGAGCAAGAAAATTCTTCTGAGAGCATGAAAAGGTCTTCTGAGAGCAAGAAAAATTCTTCTGAGAGCAAGAAAAGGTCTTCTGAGAGCAAGAAAAAGTCTTCAGAGAGCAAGAAAAAGTCTTAAAGAGATCTTAGGCAAAAATTTTCCTGCTAAAAACACCCATAGTCACCAACACCGAAATTACCTCTAATGCTTTTGGATTTCTAGCTTTAACACCGCTGTCAAAACAAATAGTGACCTGTGTGACATTCTTTGCTACCGTTTCATAATTAAAGTGTTACGGCAGCATTGCACGGGTTTATGGGATAAATACGACAATTCCGGTCGTGTTCGCGGCTAAAACAGACAGGAAGCGGGATGAAAAAATTCGACAAATACATCTTTCAAGTTTCAGGGTCACGGTTTTATCCGTAGTTGAAACGAGTGAAATGTGTTTCTTCTGTCCCTGCCTTATACTTGCCGTTGGGGTGTACTACTTACACGAGACTCATGATACCGTTGTCTCATTAATTTTACGGTGTCACTTTGATGACGGATATGGAACGCCGCGTAGCCTTAGCAACTACAATCCGTCTTTACAAATAATCTCTTTTAATCTTCTTAATCTACTAGCCATTGTATGTATATAATATATCTGAAGAATCTAAAAATCCTCACCTGTCGCGATTTTCGGCCGAATAATCGTTTTCTTCTTTCATTTTGATCGGCAATATTTCTCCGTCTCTCTACAGAAGTGACGCGCATTAACTATGGCGGCGCTTGGGAGATACGGAACCCACTCAACCGTACGACGGCTGTGGCTTCGGCATCCTCTTCGCGCTTAGTTAGGCATTTTCCCATCACCCTCTTAATCTATATCTACTTACTGA